TCCTACACGTTTGCTCAGCCAGAGCATGTTCACTATACACATCCACTAAAATACGATGAGCTTCAGCTGCACTTTTGTTCATATTAAAGTAATGAAGCAAAACTCCCCGCAAAAACACTTTATCTGGCACAAATTTTGACATATTCAATGAATTATACAGTATTGTTATTTATGATTTCAAGAAAGGTTATGTACGGCAAATGACGTCTTATGATAGATGTTTACAATGTATACAGAACTATAGGTAACAACGAAATAGTGTACTGCTTGTGCCATCTCTTGTAAAACGCTACGAATTAATTCCAACACCTAATATGTTATTTTATTTACGAATAATTTGTTGTTTCGCTTATGAATAATAAGGCTCATTCATCAATTTATTTAAAAAGAAATGTTTATTTTTTGAAACGTGAAAAAGTATATTTTTAAAATGTGGAAGAAGTACAAATGTAATACAATAGATTAATTCGCATTACTTACTAGTATTTTTGCATTCATAACCTTTGCTTTCTTCTCGCTTCTCTTGATTATAAATTTATCTCTTGTTAAGTTTGTCAAAAATTTTAAAAATTTCAAGCAACGCGAATAAACCTACTATAAGACTGAAATATAATGTAAGAATAGTATAATACGAATAAACCTAAAAATTGAACTATAATTAGTATTTGTTTATTAATTAAAATATTTCAACAATTTTTTTCGTTTTAAAAAGAATGTTTTTAAAATGTTCATTATTGATCATTATATTATATCGATTAGTGTTCATTATCAGTTACTGACGAGCTTCATTTGCAATATATTCATTATTCTTATTCTTTTAATATTTCCCGTATCAGTATTATCACTACAAACAGGTGCTTGTAATTCTTTATGATGTCGGACGTCATAGTCATTACATCATTTTGTAAGATACAAATATTGTGTAACACGCTATTATGAATTCTGGAAATTCTGGAATTTTTTTGACATCCGTCAAAGATAGACAATCTAAAAGTATCCTGAAACGTTTTTAATTGTCCAATTGCATATTCAATTTCTATCCTTGTCGACGATAAACAATAATTAAAATTTTTTGTGGTAAAATTGGTTTGACAAATGACCATTGCCTCGAAAAGGGACCAAGACATGCGAATGAATTGCATATGCAGCATTTCCGATAATATGAGAGTCATAGGAAAATTAGGCATCTCTAGAAAACGTGCTATTGGGGAGTTTCGAAAAACTCGAGCATCGTTAACTGATCCTATTTCTCCTGCATAGCAGTGTCTAAAGAGATCACGTGAATCACATATTAGTTGGATATTTAAGAATGGAAAATCTTTTCGGTTTATATAAGAAGCTGAATCAATTGGCGGAGCTTGGATTTTAATGTGTGTTCCATCTATGGCACCGATGACATTTGGAAAATCACAAGTCTTTTCGAAACATTCCATGACATTGAAAGCAACAGGCCACTTCAGCAACAGGTCTTCTTTAGGTCACTGTATAAATCGAGGTGCAATACAATGAAGTGCATAAGTAACACGTCTTACAGCCCTAAAAGCAGTTGCTCTGTCAACTCCGAATTTTCCGACACAAATTGATCTGTAACAGTCCAGAAAAGTAAATATATAGATTATTATATTTTATTTTTTTAGAATATAAAAATATAATATATAATATATAATATATAGGATAATAGATTGTAATAGAATAGAAATATAATAAGAATATAATAAAATATAATATAATATAATACACTATTCAAAAGAATTTTATGAAGTTACACAAACAAAGATGAAGATGCATTAAATACGATAATACAAACCTATACGAATCAGGAGTTGCCATAAACCAAAGAACAATATACAATTGTTTTTCTGCTGGAATTGGTTTTCTACCAATTGTGGTTCCTATAGCATTTAATGCCAGTCAGTGACAAAACCATCTCAAATGTAGTTGGATATAGTATCGAATATAAGATCATGATTTTAATAAAACCAAATGAATAACATTAAAATTTTGTAACTTAATGACATTTATATTAAAATATTTACCTAAAATATTCTTTAAATGTAACTTTGTTGTAATTAGGAATCATGCGATCGATGTAATCTGTAATTTTTTCAATTCCAATTTGTTTTCCATGTGATTTATCTACTATTAATAGAAAAAAATGACGTCTACATATCACTTAGAGATATGTCTTCGACTTCATTTTCATTATCGCTCGATTCGGAATTATTATCGGAACTTTTATCACATCGGAATTTTTCTTTAAAAATATTAACGAAGAAATTACAATTATTGGAAATCGACGTCTTGTATAGCGTTCATCTTGAACTCGCATAGGAAATCGTTTCGAATAACTAAAGCGCTTCATGCGCATTGACTGAATGGAACGATTTCAAAGCATTATACAATAATGCGTGCGCGCGGCTGATTGATTGACGCAAACGCTGATACACGCCAGGCGCGAATCCTAAAAGCGGGTGCGATGTGGTATTCCGATAGATCTTTGTGTGCGGACGCGAAAGCGCAAAGTTGGATGCTTTGGCAATCGACAGCTGAGAATTTTCGGCAGAGACGGAAAAGACTCTGCGTGTTATTGCTGATTGCCGTGGATACGGCGATGATGCTTGTACCGAACGGCCGAGAAAGATTCGACGGAGACCGAGCGCGCTCGATCTTTTTGTTATGTCCAGTGTGAAGGCGATTGGTCGGCGATCGAGAAGACTCGGCGGGGCAGAGTGCGCTCTGGCCTTGGAGATAATCCCATCGGTGCAACGGCGCGAGAGTTGCAGCTAGTCGGTAGCTGAGTAGGACGGTAGGACAAAGTTTCCTCCTCCTGGAGTTATCCCGTCGTGCAACGAATGAATGCAGGAAGATCGATCCGCCGATATCGAGAATTCTTAACAGTGACGGAGTGCTCTCCATCACTTTGTCTTGCGATTGTTAGAAGTCGGTAATAGTCGGATTCATCCAGGAGCGGAATAGCAGGAATCGCAAAACAAGCAACAATTTCCCGTATTTGTATACATAATTTGTATACGAATTATTGCTCCCGCTCGTATTATTCCGGTCTTACTTCGCCAGTCGGCAATATGAGAGGGAACGTTGCGGGTCGACGATGCTCGGTGGAGCTCGTGTATCTTCGGCGGAACAACTGTCACCTGTTAATTATGCTTTGATTTAAGTGCGCACAGCGTCCTCATCACTGTCATCAGTACAGGACTGATGAAGTGGTCCTCGGCCAGATGTTCAGCCGGGATCGCTGTTGCATTGTTACATAATTATCTACTAATATTAATAAGTACCTACGTATAATAATCTTATATAGTTTGATATCAAGCTACAATAACAACTATTGCAATTCTCTGCTTTTATAATACTGACTTTATTAATACTAACTAAAACTTTCTCGTTATTAACTGATGGTTTAAATTCATAACTCTTCATTATACGAGGTGTGGCTATTAAATAACGAGACTGACGCTGTAAAACATTTTATTTTGATTTCATACATATTTACTTATTATCACCTTCAATATACACCCCTCCTCTATCCCTACAACGCTTCATGCGAATCTTCCATTGTTTGAAACAGTGCTGAAAGTCTTCTTCTATCAGCTCCTTCAGGACGTATGCCGCTTTCTCTTTCACAGCTTCAACGGACTCAAATCTTGTTCCTTTTAATGCAGATTTCACCTTAGGAAACAGAAGTCGCACGGTGCAAGATCCGGCGAATAAGGCGGATGGTCTAACACTGGGATGCTGTACTTGGCTAGAAACCTCTTGACAGACAATGCGGAATGAGCCGACGCATTGTCTTGGTGGAGAACCCATGACTTGTCTTTCCACAATTCGGGTTATTTTTTCCTTATTCTTTCACGGAGTTCAGCAAGAACGTGAAGGTAGTAATGTTGATTAATAGTTTGACCTTCAGGAACCCAGTGAAGGTACACAATCCCATGAATATCGAAAAAAACAATCATCATTGCTTTGAATTTTGATTTGCTCATTCGAGCTTTTTTCAATGTCTTCTCGGCCGTCTTGGAAACGCTTAAACCACTCAAAAACACGTGCACGCGATAAACATTCATGGCCATACACTTCTTTCAATAAATTATAAGTTTCAGTAGCGATTTTTCTAAGTTTCACGTGAAATTTCACAACAATTCGTTGCTCTGTTGTTACACTTATCATTTTTCCGGCGAAACAAAAAAACAACTCTAATGCGAAAGAAGGCTACGGCTATTCGGATTTGTTTACAGAAGCGAGAGGTACTGTATTCGAAAGAGAAGGCTTCAACAGCTGTCGCTGGCGTTTGGCGCATGCGTATTTCTTCTGTAGCCGCGTCAGTCTCGTTATTTAATAGTCACACCTCATATCATCTATTATTTGATAATATGGTTGCGCTACACTGTCTGTTGTAACTCTGTAACATGAAGGTGAGATGATCCTCATAATATGTTAATCTAATTTTGATATATGAGATAATTATGTATTTCTGATATCTGAGGACTAAGTATAATCGAAATATACCAGTTGAAACTTATCGTCGAAAATTATAATTGCGAATAATAAATATTACTTTGTTACACCTAATTATAACTCAATGAATTTGTTGACTGGGTTTGCTTTTTTTAATCTGTCAAAATTTAAAATATCTAAATATTAAATATACATGCTTAAAATTCTTTTTCCATTTCAAATGTAATAAACAAATAAAACATAAATGCATCAACCCATTAATTTTTATAACTCGGATGTTTGTACACGATCACAATGTGCGCATGAAGAGCTACTTTATTTATATTGAATGAATCGTGCGTCAAAATTTTGTTATCTTATTTCAGCAATTGTCTCACTTACGCGCGTATTAGTTTTCCGCACTCTATAATCGTGCACGAAACGTCCTTATTTAAAATATCTACTTATTTATAACATCTCCTTTGTCGAAAGCATTGCATTGCAATGATAATTGATATTTAAACTAATTCTAATATGCTACATTTACATTTCAGATTGCGGTGAATGGAGAGCATTTCTGTGCCTTTTACTACAGATTGCCTCTTGATGATGTAACAGCTCTCGAAGTTAATGGGACCATTCAAGATGTCAGGATTCGGCAACATAATCTATTTATATATCCAGATCCTAATATTTCCAGACCATCTCGAATATTGGTCTTGACAACTGAAGAACCACTTGTGGATTTTCTAGTAAATTTAACATTTTATTTATGTAAAAGTTGAAAGACCAATACGTAAGGTCCTAATAAGCGTTGTTGAAAAGAAAAATCCTTAATCTTTTATTGCATAATGTCCTCTGCAAAGGAAATCTTTTTCGCACTGTTTTTGTATTTTTGTATTTCGCACTATTTTTAATATTTTTATAATACTCTTGTATTATTTAATAATTTTTATTTTTTTGTGGAGTCCGACTATAATTTCGATTTCGGTTTTGATCAGTTTCTATAATAAATAAGAGTTTCAGTTTTGATCAAAATTAAGAGAAAATTTCGATAAGTAAACTGAAACTGTATAAATGGCAACGCACTGACAAGCATTCGAAAAACTATATGTTATCATCAGTATTGACAAGTAACGCGTTAAAGTCACTCTAGTATGAGTCGAGATGTAAGCGGTACTCTTCGTGATGCCGCCATGTTTTAGTTATTAATATGTTAGTGAATGCAAGTGAACAGATGAAAATAATTTTTATAGGCATTTTCAAGATGCCGGCGCAGATGTTTTTTCGTTTCAGCCTGAGTTAATTAAAATAATTATCGCCAGTCTAATTTTGAGCATATCGATTCTTTTCTTATTTTTCCAAGGGCAGGTGTCATTTGTTAAAAAAAGAATAATAATTTTTAGCCATTTCCGATAAGACTGAAACATGTCCTTCCGGTTTTGTGTCTCTTACTAAAGTGACTTTATAACACGTTACTTGTAATTTACGTGCCAAGTTTATCGGTACAAGTTACTTTTTTCGGTAATAGATAACGACATTACATTTTCTTGTGAGTAACGTTCATGGCAACGGAATTACATTTTTGAGGTAACGATTTTATTAATTGCTTTTATCGTTAATTTATTGGGTATAGGAATAAGTTTCCGCCTTTTTTAAATGAAAAAGATGTGTTTATTTAAACAAATCTATATAAGTGAGTTTATTCAAAGTATACTCCTTCGGAAGCGACAACTTTCTCCCACTTTTTCAGTAATAAACGGATTCCTCGAATGAAAAAATCTGATTTTTTTGAAGCGATCCATTCATCAAGCCATTTTTTGATACCTTCATAAGAATTGAATCGTTCTCCAGAAAGGGCCGACTGCATGGAACAAATGGAAATCTGAAGGGGCAATGTCCGGTGAATACGGCAGCTGGGGCAGAATTTCCCACTTTACTCCTTCCAAGTATTTCTTGACCGGTTTTGCAATGTGTGGCCTAGCATCGTCATGTAACAGAATCAGCTTGTTGTGCCTATTGTCCCATTCTGGTCGTTTTTTTTTCAAAGCTTGGTTTAAACGTATCAGTTGTAGCCGATAACGATCGCCAGTGATGGTTTCGGACGGTTTGAGCAGCTCATAATATAACTTCTTTGATCACACCAGATCACAATATAATCTTCGAAGCATGGATATTTCGTTTTGGCATTGATGGACCTGGTTCACCTGGCATCATTCATTCCTTCAAGCATTTAGGGTTATCGTAGTAGATCCATTTTTCATCGCCAGTTACGATACGATGTAAAAAACCCTTCCTTTGTTGTCATTGACGAAGCATCTCGCAGATGACCAAACGTCTTTCTATGTCTCTCTCTTTCAATTTGTATGGTACCCAATTTCTTTTTGCACCATTCCCATTGCGTGTAGACGTTTTCCAACAGTGGATCTATCAATATTTAACTCTTTTGCCAACCTATCGAGCGATAAACACGAATCTTCTTCGAGTAATGTTTACAATTCTGCATCTTCAAATTTTTTCGGTGCACCTTCGCGTTCTTTGTCACGCACGTCAAAATCACCAATGTTGAATCGCCGAAACCATTCTTTACAACTAGTTTTAGATGGAGCATGCTCACCGTAAATATCTACGAGCAAACGATGCGTTTCCGCACACTTTTCTTTAAAATAAAATAATGGAGTAAAACTTCCCGCAAATGTTGCTTTTTTGGAATAAATTCCGACATCTTCAACGCAAAAAAAGTTACTCTTTGTTACGCTTCGAATGAATGCCATCTATTGGACTCAAAAGTTTGGACACACATCTTTCAAAAACATGTCTTGCCGTTCTATCAAACGCACGAGCAATGCTACTAACGACATCTTTCTGCAATGGGCGGAAACTTATTCCCATATCCAATATTTCTAGCCGCGTAAAAGTTTTAGTACTAACATGAGAGAATTGGGAGAAAGGACTCACCCATTTGCAGAAGCCGCCATTTGCATCGTGAAGTGAGCAGGAGATATGGTAGGAGCGAGATAGAACATGTGGTGCTGCACACACTAAGTATTGTACCGATTCATACAGTGAATCTGGGAGTTTGGTTCAAGTGATCAGTCTGTACGGACGTGCTCACGCGTGCGCTCTCTAAATGTTGTTTGCGTTCCTTCTTAGCCACTTTCGGACTTTATTTACCGTTTCTCCTCTAATTCCATTCCTCGATTCATACTCTTGAATGATGATGGCATGCGGGAAGACCCTCCCATGGGCCTCTTTGACTTGAATCCGGATGATAAGCAGACTGATAGCCCTATCGCGTCTTCGAATCATACCTTCTCGTCAATCTCAAAAATTGGAGGAATGTGACAATTTTATTAATAAGACGTCCAGAGTCTTGAGAGACGTCTCATTGCCAATTAGGTTAGACAACATTAGAGTGATGCTTGCTGGGGAATTACCGTTAACGCCTTTATCTGACATGACTCGAGGAAAGCAAGGTAAGAAATTCAATAAAGAACAAGTAAATAATCAACACTGTTGCAGATGAAGCTTCGGTGAGTAAAACTTTGCTTTCACCGCAAGATCCGTAAAAAGTTATCCATAAAAATTTGGAAAGATCTCGTCCCCTTCTTTCCTTAGAGGAAGATGGGGAGCTCTCTGCATCCGACATTTAAGAGGAGTCTATGAAATCCACAGATCTTAATAATAAAACGGCCACTTCTAGCGGAGACGTTGAGGCGACTTCCTCGGCCATTCGTAGCGAGGAGAATATTGTAACGACGGTCTCGTGACGCGTCAGCAAAAAGCGCCCACCTGAGGAGGAGAGTTTGTTAGAGGAATCCCCTCGTAAATTGCCATCGGAAGGCGCTGCCAAGGGCAGGTCGCCGACGAATTCTTTGGATACAATTTGCAGGTATTCTTCTAAAGATATGCCACTTTATGTGGTCCTTCTACAAAAAATCTCAAATGATTCTGCTCGTTTAAATCATGATTAGCCGTACTGTATTAAAAAAATTGATCGATAACAATTCCTTAGTTGAGGTTAAGTCGACGAGTTGCAATAAGGGCTCGGTCTCTCTCAATAAGCCTGCTCAATAATTTTGAGAAGATCAACAGTCTTTGTACTATATATCCATACGAATTCTCTCGAGGCACATAATCTCAAAACAGCTATTTAGAGTCATGCGATCTGGCGTTATAAAAAATGTGCTGCATGATGTCTCTGAAGAAACAATATTTAATGACAAACAATTTTTTATGCTCTTATTTTTTATATGTTTTAATATTATAACCACGTTAGTTTTCAAGATATATTTTAATTACACGAGCATTAACATGTGTAAATTAAATAATAATTAAATATCACAAACTATAACTTTTGCTGTGGTTTTTTATGCTCTTATTTTTTATATGTTTTAATATTTAATGAGTTCTCCTCTCCGATTAAAATTGTTTCGGTCCGCAGATTCTCTCGTAACGTACGGAAAGATGGAAAAAAATAAATTTCACGCAATCCGTTTTGGCCAAATTCCAGAATCTTCCTCGTGCACTCACATTGATGCATGTTTCCTTCCCGGTGATTCCATATATCTCTCATGTCTTTATGTGTTTTGCTTGAGGTTCGACCATGTCGGTTCAAAGAGAATGCAAGAGCGCAGCTTGCTGTGCGAAATGTGAGTAAAGTAAACATGTGAAGTTGGAGGATTGTCCTCATCATCATTTTCTTCTCAAATGTTGTAATTGTGGTCAAGATCATTTTCCTTCTTCTAATAAATGCTTCATGTACAAACAGAGGCAGATATATCAATATACAGTTCTGAAAAATATCTCTTATGCTGAGGTTCGCAACAGACTTGGCATTTCCACCAAATTACTCTTCACCCTCTCCCCCTTTTTTCCCCTCCCCCCCGGATCTCTCCCCAGAACCTTCCCTCTTCCTCTTTCTCCTCTTCTCCCCGTTTCTCTTCTTCTTCTTCTTCTCCCAATTTCTCTGACGTTAATCCTTATGAGTTACTCGGATCAATCCCAGAATTTGGTTACCCGCAAACCTTCGAACCCACCTAATCCTATAGCGACAAAGTGTGGGCCTTTCCTCCAGGAAATTTTCAAGCACATCATAGAACTCAGCCTCAACAGGTACGACGTTCCGACTGCCAGCTCCCTACTAGGAGGGCCCAATGGTCCCTCGGTAGACTTTCACAATGCCCACAGGTTTTGTCTTATCGTTCTTAAGGGACAGGTGAGAAGCTCTCCATTCCTCTTTCTCCCCACTCCCCGGGTACTCCTCCTATCAAACTTCTCCCTTCTTTCAATCCCCTCCTCTCTCTCCTATTATCCTCCTACCACTCCCGCTAATTCTTCTATCTCAGAGTTTACGAACCTCGTATTTATCTTTAACCTGCTACAGCAAATTATTGGCAATAATTTCTTCATCTTCTTCTGTTCACAAATTGGCAACTGTTTATAACAAATCCATAAGACGCTTGGTTAATCGATTCAAAATAAACAATAATCACCATTCTTCTCTGCCTCAACGTAACCCTCAATTTATAAAATTAATTTTCTGGAACTGCCGCAGTGCTACCTCTAAGAAACCTATAAAAATAATTAAAAATAGAAATAGAAAAAAATTGTTGAAAGTGTGGATATCCTTATTCTTGCGGAGACGTGCCTTAATTCCACTGAGGACTTTTCGATTAGAGGCTTTGATTGTTTACGCTTAGATTTCAATAATAAAGACATCAGAAGTATGACAATCCTCATACGTAATCCA